TAAAGCCATGGCGAAACTTGTAATGCGCTACTAGAGAAATCAAATCTGTAGGGCCTCACCTTGACAGAGAGGGCCACTGTTGTTTGTAAAGACCAACAAAAAGCTTAATTTATGAATTTCTGCTAAGCGTCTTGTGTTTGCAGGTTTTGATCTGTGCGAGGTCGGTCAGGAGGAAGTCGTGTTAAAGACGGGAAAACAGGCCAGCAGACGTAACATGCATTTCGCCCTTCAGGCCCTTCTTGCCCTGTTTGGTGAGAATAGTGATTGTTTTTCTTGCTATATCAAATGATTTCGAACTTTTTCACATTACACTTCTCTGTTTATTGTCTTCCTTTCCATATCAAGACTCCACGGAGCTTCCCAAGCGACTGAGCATGGACAGTTCGTCGTCTTTAGAGTCTCTGTCGTCCTCCCAGTCTGCTTCCCAGCCTCAGTCTTTGCCCCTCGCTCTCAGCTGTTACCCTCCCCAGCCCTCCTTCTTACCCCCCGGCTGCTCCGACAGCCTCTCCTGCGACGCCATCTCCGTCTACAGCCTCAGCTCCCTCGCCTCGTCCCTCAGCTTCCTGTCTCGGCCCGAGCCGGCGGGAAGTGACATCATCAGCCATCGCTCGCATCAACAGGAGCCAGGGAAGCAGTACTACTCCTCGCAGCGCCTGGCAAGAGGCAGGCTGGCCAATCACAGAGGAGCGTCTGCAGGAGGAGAGGACGAGGAGTATGAGGGATTCTCCATTATAAGCAGCGAGCCGCTGGGGCGGGCAGGCAGGGAGTGCGACACGCTGCCGCTCCCAACGGGACACCGACAGGGTAGAGGTGGTTCCGGCAGAGGGTCTGCGGTGGGCCAGACTCTGATAGTTTCCTCCAAGGGGAGCATCAGCACGCCTACGTCCCCCCTCAAAGCTCCACCGCTGGCGCTGCCGGACCAGCCAAGCTCTAAGGTCACCCAAAAAATGTAAGTTCAGGATTAATTTAGTCAAAAATGCTGATGGAGGGTTATTTATGTAACAAGCTGACCCCTGACTTTTAAACCGAGTTGTTCCACCCTTCGTAGCAACAACTGACTTCAAGTGTTTGCAGTGATGCCAGTGAGTCTAATATATCACTGTGAAGGAATTTTGGTCCTTCTTCTTTGAGTTTTGATTTAGCGTGAGTTGAGGCCCTGGTAGAGAAGAAGCAAGTGAAACTGAACCATGAAAATGTAGTTGATCCTTATTCATTTGTTACTTAATAGGGGGGATTATATTTTCACAGTTCCAGGGTGGTTGGGTGTCCAAATATGCTCCATGCTAAAGACAATTTCCTTTATCTCCTGTAGCTCATTGCCTACACGGACCGTTAAAGGGAAGGTTAGCAGCTCCGAGTCGGACCAGTCCAGCACCGAAACGGACAGCACCGTCAAATCCCAAGAAGAGAGGATGGGTCCCGCCGGACAACTGGATCCCCACGAACTGGCCCAGAAGATCCTGGAGGAGACCCACAGCCACATGCAAGCTGTGGAGACGCTGCAGAAAGCAAACACCAGAGTGACGTCTCTGAGAGGAGCCGGGGACCGAGAAGACCCTCACTCCAGGCAACTGTCTCTGTCCACCCCCACGACCCCGACCTTTAAACCCGCCAGAGGGGCGCGTGACTTCCAGCCGTCCGAGACGAGTGCGTTTAGCAGACCTCCCAGCAGGGCTAGTCTGAAGGCCGGCTCATCCCCTTTTACCGTCCATAAACACCTTTCACCCCATCCCTCTGATTCGAGGCCTTCCCCGACTCCTCCCAAACCGCCGTCTCGCTCATCATCGCTACAGAAAATCAACACTTCCGCCTCTTCTTCTCCTTCTTCCTCTCTCCTCGCTAAGGAGAGGAAATCGCCCGTCGTCTCAGACGAGCCGGCTCAACACAAACCTAAATACTTCGGCTCGCCTTACAGCTGCCACATATCACCGTCTCGCTCTCCGGCCGACAGCGCCACGTCTCCAGCCCTTTCCTACTCTTCCGGAGGCTCCGTCTCGGCAGCATCCAGCCCGACGAACCCTTCAGAGCTCAGCCAGACAAAGCAGGACAACAAGGTCCAGGCGATGCACAACTTGAAGACGTTCTGGGCCGGCGCCAGCCAGAAACAGTTGGCGGCCGGCCATTTGGTGTCGCTCCGAGGCGGGAGCCATAAAATGAGTGCAGTGCAGAAAGACGTTTTGGGTTTGCTGAACCTCTCGCCCAGACACGGGTCTGGCAGGAAACACGCGGACAGACAGGAAGACCACGACAGACCCAACGGGCACCGCAAGATGGAGCCCAAACCTCCACCTGCTCCATCAGCTGGTCTCCCAACAAACCACAAAGGAGGCATCAAACTTCCCTCTGGGAACGGATACAAGTTTCTCTCGTCTGGACAGTTTTTTCCATCTTCTAAATGTTAAAGGTTTGGATATTTACCCCAATGGATTCTCAGGCAGCAGACTCATCTGAGGGTTCACTTTCTATGTCGACTGACAGAAGCTGTCCTTTTTGTTTCAATAAAGTACAAATTTACTACTAGTCCCTGCTGAAGGTGGGACCTAAAATGGACCATTTCACGCTGGTCTCTTTGATTTTACATATGTGTGTGTGTGTGTGTGTGTGTGTGTGTGTGTGTGTTGTGTGTGTGTGTGTGTGTGTTGTGTGTGTGTGTGTGTGTGTGTGGGATGTATGGTGCCTTGCAAGTAAGACTTTTGCGAATATTTTCACATTTTGCCATGTTAGGACCACAAACTGCGTTTTACTTGGATTTTATGTAAAAGACTAAATAACGCGTTATTGTTAGAGGGAAGAAAAGTTCTAAATTTCAAAAATTCTCCCCAGTAAAAAAAACAAAAGATGAAAAGGGTGACACATTTTAGCCCCCTGAGTCAACTCTGTAGTCTTTTGGTGGTGTTTTGTTAATGCTGTGCGCATCCTTAATTTTAATTTGGGCCTGGACTTCGACTAGGACATTCTAGCAAATTAATAGGCTTCGATGTATTAGTGCCGGCTGTATTTTTGAGTTGTTGTCCCGCTGGGAGGTAAACCTCTGCTAGTCTCAAGGTTTCTCAGCATTATTAATGTCAGTTAGCTTCAAATGATTGTTTTTGAATGCTATGCTAAAAACGCATCAACATTGCAATATTGGCAAGATATTGCAAAATTCACTGAAATTTTTCTTAAATTATTGACAATTTATCACACTGTTGACTTTATTGTTTTTACTCAAAGTTGTAAAAACTTTAATTCACTTTATATTGTTGTCTGTTCTTGCATCATTAGCTGCTACAATGTTTTATTATAATTATTACTTGTGGCTGCTGTCCTTTTTTATGCGACTGAGCCAAACTTGAAATGGTGTATTGGTGGTTTTTATTATTATTATTATTATTATTCAATCCTGCATTAATTCACCGCGCCTTTACTTTGCTTTGGTCTATATTTTAAAATCCTACCAGAATCCATTGAAGTCTGTGGTTGTAAAGTGACAAAATGTGAAGACGACTGCCGTTGCAAAGCACGGTGATCAGTGTGGATGTGGTGACTGACTGACTGCCTTCTCACACAGAAAAGTCTTTTCATGTCTGACTACAGAACACGTGTTTTGACGTACACTGAAATGTCCCAACTTTTCTCTTTTTTTTGTCTTTTTTCATGTTTAAAACGCTCGCTGTTTGTGTAAGTTAATATGTAATAATTATTTCATTTGCTGTGGTTATCCTTTTCTTTTATCCACCTGTTTTCCACTCGTTGCTGCACATTTTATAAAGACAATTACAACACCAAGGACGGAAAAAGAACCTGAGATTTTTTTATGGAAGTTCATTTCCATTTGCAAATGTCCAATTCTTGTCGTCGGACTTTAATAAATTTGTACTAATGTTCAACTTTTGCAGCAGTGGTCAGAGAGATCTTAGTTTTCCTTGTAGAGAGGCACAGAAGACTTCAACGTGACGTTTCCACGGTCGGTGAGGATTTGGGTTGCCGTCTCATCTGCACTGTTGGTCAAATTTTAGTTTTCCTAAAGTCTACAAGAAATGAGGACATGTTGATTTTTTTTCTAAAGTACTGGATACATAACTCAGTGTGAGGGATAGTTGTTTCTTCCAGTCACCTTTAGTCCCAAAGGGCTGAATAGACTTACTAAAGCGGTTGTATGGCAAGCTGTTTAGTAATTAACGATTCGACAAGCTCTTTAAAGCAGATAAAAATGCAGTTCTCCAGTCCACAACAGATATATTTATATATAAATGTTTCCAGGAAAAAATATTAATTTTTCCACTGTAGTGTCATCTGCTCATCTCCTCTAGACAAGTATGGTAGTGATCAGTCATAGCTACTGCATATCTATTTTAGATATTGCCTTATTGAGCAGTGAAAGCTCAGACCTTGCACTGACATCAGCTTCACCTTCCTATTTTACATATTTGAAATAAAACCTATAATGTGTAACAAGTTAATAGTAGATCTAGAAAAGGGAGTTGCAACTGGATAAAATTCATCTTGGCGTATCTATAATTTGCATGCATTTTCCAATGGAATTTGAATTTGGCTATGTAAAATACAAAGTGGGGTTGTAATGTGAGGAGATGGAATAGATTCCCATAATCTAGAGAATGAATGTAGACTGAAGACGGAGATACTCTTCAATAATAATAAAAAAGCAATGATATTTGTGCTCTTCGGATGGCAGTTGAGACACTTGAAATGATGCAAAACGGGGATAATTTCTCATTTTGACGTGTAGGACGCACACCAATCATGTCTTGATTTTTATATTAAATATTGAAACATCAACTTCAAATTTACAGGGATTTTAAGATATTTGAAACTCTCTTCCTGGTGATTTTAGATTTAACGTTTTTATTCGGGATTCATTTTCAAGTAAAACAGCTCTAACTGACTTTCAATGAAGATGACTTTACATGAGATTCATTTTATGAGCCACATCTTTATAATCAGATGAGCGCTTTGATTATATACCATAACGGTCTGCCACAATAAGGAGTTATCGCCTACTGCGCAGCCGCAGCCCAGGTGACGAAGATGGTGCTCATCAAGGAATAGTGAGTCTGAAGTGTTTTTTAAAAAGATATATTTTACCATCTTTAAGCCGGAGATTTCCATTTTTGTACAGGCATATCAGCATGAACTAAAGACCGGTGGTTCGTTTAAAGCCGTCGTTGTCGGTATTTAAGGGCACTTTAGCGTGAAAAGGCAGCTTTGAGCAGGGTGGATCAGGACGTGGATAACGGGACACACCGGTCTTTTTTAGGCGTTGCTAGTTGCAAGCTAGCGTTAGCCTCCAAGTTGTACCAGCGGACGGAGGGGATGATTAGCTCCTTAATGGAAACGGCTTGCGCTGAAAGGCTGCCCTGGTTACCCACAACCACACCACACGTTTAGTTAGTCAACGCCACCAAAATAATAACACAAGCTTAATCACGCAGTGGTCCGGTGCTGGGATCCCGTAGCCTGCTAGCAACGATCCTTATGTTTTAAATTGCCGTATTGTTAAGCTGTGATCTCGTGAGTGACAGATTAAGGCTACTTCTCTGACGGATTTACCAGAAATGCTAGGCGACACCGTTAGCTGCAGCAGCCGAGCTAGCTGCTAGCATGACGATTCCCTGGACTCCCAACAGCTGAATTGAAGCTTAATGTCACGGCGGAACTTGAACGAAATCGTCGTGGGGTCATTTCGCTTCGCTCACGGTGTATTTGCACGCTTTCAGTTGGGTTTAGGGTTACTTTGCTGTTACTTTAACAGGCGTTAGCAGGGAGTTAGCCTGATGTCATGGGCGGCTAGGTTAACGTGGTCGGGTTGTTTAGTTGACTGTAAAGACCCTCTTACTGTTGTATGTTGTTAGATTCTACTAAGTCATTATCCTGATTTAAATCTGAGGCCGGAACTTCACCTCGCGGCTCGCACGTTCCTGTTGTTTTGAGCACAAACCAGATTTAGTCTGAACTCGTTGAGACTTCTAATCCAGATTCTCTGATTGTAAACCTGAAATCAGAGAAAATCTCACACACCACCACTAACCCCCCCCCCCCCCACAGTTATCCAACAACATCACACACCGCTTACTTTTAAAAATGTGCTGGTTGTAGATGCAGGATGGAGCTAGTAACAGTATTTACTCAAAAGTTAGAGTGAAAATGTGTAACAATAACTTTGTTGTGCAACAGAAAAGCAACACTTTTCTGTCATTTTCAGTGGTCAGTGAAGGTTTTACCCTCTACAATAAAAAAAAAGACATTAGGACATTAAATATTTATTTGTAGTTATGGTATCTTACCCATTTCCAAGTTCCCCATTCACGCGTGGTCTCCTTAACTTGCACTCTTGATCAGCTGCAGAACTTGACCAAAAGTACAAACTCATACCATAGAAAAAATATCTCGATATGATCTCCCTCCGAATACATCAGTGAAACCAAAGACAAATAAAATTCATGAAGGGCTGAGATTAAAAAATCTCACGCTCAATTATTTCATAATTGGACATTATAAAGAAAACTGCCAAAAATCTTTCATGTGAAGACTAAAAGGAACTTTTATTAAAAAAAAACAAAACACATTAATTCTGCCCAACATCTTTCCTCTAAACATAACGTCTGTCAGAGCAAACACACACTTTCTGCTTTAGACGCTTTAAGCATATTTATCAATGAAACCACAGGCTGACGCGAGGCGTGATCAATATTTGATTTTCACAAGAGAGTTAAAAATGTTTTTTGCCCTGGAGTGATTATATGTAAAGACACATTGTTTATGGTAACATCAAAGCGGTTATAGTGTGTAGCTTTGCTGTTATGTGCAGTGAAGACATGCAACCACAGCTAGTTCTTTATCAGGAGGCCAGTCTAAAGTCTACTCCAGGTGTGAATAGCAGGCATGGCACGCTGTCAGAAATCGTAACCTTTTTAGCGTGAAACTCGTACAAAGTTCTGACTCAAACTGGCGCAAAACGAAGACATTTCATGTGGGTTTTATTTGACTCGTTTTTTTAAAAAATTGTTTGCTTTAAGTGTCTTATCTGGCTTTGACACATCGTTCATCACCTTGTAGACTGGAGAGGTGAAATTAAAAGGTAACTGCTTGCTGTGAATCACTTCTCTAAGTTGAAACACCTCAGTTGCATTAAACTTGGTATATTTATTAAGAAACATGAATTTAAAAAAAAATGTAAATTCATATTTCAGCCAAGTCCAAAAGCTTTTCTGAAACATTTCTCAGAAAAGCTCAACAGCAAGAGTATGCTTGAAAAGACATAATTCATATTCATGTTGCACAAACGCATTTTTCAATTTTTTTAAACCCATGTGGCATTCCTGCTCCTTTCTCCTCATAGCACTCCTGTGTTTTGTGCCAAAGCACAACGTCAGAACAGTGGGTTGAATTTGATGAGTCCTTTGAGGCAGCAGAGCAGCTTGTCAAGGAGCCAAATTGGCAAAGTGTGCACTAGGTGGGAGGCACAGCACAACACTTTTACCACCGCAAGGTTCTCGCTTCACGAATGCCATGCTTAAGTTGCAATATGTAAGCAGAAGACACGCCTTCAATATCGAACTCACACCTGCCCCAAAAAACCGGTGATACCAGAACAGAGCCTGAACAGCACCTTTAGAAAGATGAGTTTTCTTCCATTCATTTAGATCTAGATAGCTAGAAAATCTTCTCTGGCTGTAAAATAAAATTTAATGAAAAAGACTTTAGGAACAGTATGACAGAATCTTTTTAAAACGATACGTTTCATCAACTTACAACTACACCTGTCAGTAGTAAATGTTGCTGGATGATAAATTGTCCTAGAAGTTATCACTGTAAACGATAATATTGTTGTTATGAGACCATCTTCAAGTCATTTGATTATGACAAAGTACACCCCCCTTATCGACGGGGAGAGGGGAGTCATTTCTGGAAGACATTCTGAATATCCAAAAGAAATTTAGAGTACACCCAAAACAACAGCAAGAAAAAAACAATAAAATGCATACTGAACTGTCTGCAAACAAACTCACCCTGAAAACAGGAGGCTGGTTGATACTGAAGACTTTTATCATCCAATCTTTGGCAGAAAGAGAAACAGAAATGATGCATCTTGTTTTAATTGTATTATTGCGACAGGCTCTTCTGACGCTCTTTTCCTGAGTTTTGTGACTTGTCATTGTTTTAGTTGTGTCTAACATCAGTTTTTCTACGTCTGCCCTGTTTTCCCTCCCAGCCGTGTCGTGTTGCCTGTCTCTGTCGAAGAGGTGAGTGACATTGTCTTTGTTCTCTTTTTGGTACTAAATGCTTCATTTGACTTGGTTCAGAAACTCGCAGCCTCTTTTAGTGGAGCTGCTGCTTCTCTGCTTTATCGTGACATTTGCTTTATCGTTTTGATTTTATTGCATTTTTTTCCTACAGTATCAAGTAGGGCAACTGTACTCTGTGGCTGAGGCGAGCAAGAATGAGACGGGAGGAGGAGAAGGAATCGAAGTTCTGAAAAATGAACCGTACGAGAAGGAAGGGGAGAAGGGGCAATATACACACAAAATATATCATCTAAAGAGGTAAGTCTTTGTATTTGTGTAATTGTTCTGTTAAATGTTGAAAATCAGAAGAACTACCTGTGGGTCTACTCGGGTCGTTTTGGCCGTGAAGACACTAAAGAAGGAGTTTCATGTCTTTTTCTCTCACATTCCCAATGAAAAGACAGTGACTGACTGTCCTGCTCCTCACAATCTTTTCTATATTTATTACATTTCTCAAGAGGGGCTGATCAGTTCTGCTGCCTCTCAGTAAGACGGTCCAGGCTTTCAGTTCCAGCCTGCCGTCCTCCTGCTTGGACTTTGCATGTTCTCCCCGTGCGTTCACGGGTTCCCTCCTGGTACTCCGGTTTCCTCCCACAGTCCAGAAACGTGACTCCCTGGTGTTGCTCTGGAAACCAGTCCGGTGTGCACCCTGCGTCACCCATAACATGGAAAATAGAGAAATGCAAATTGAGATCCAATGCAGTTTGAAATAAAGTGAAGAGATTTCTACAGGCCCCTTTTTATTCTTTAGTTTGGGTGCGATACATGCAGCATGTTTGAAAACTCTGGTATTAATTCCAGTAAATAATAGGAATTTTCCATATTTATCAAAGTAATTAGAATTTCCCATAACCCAGCTGCTCTGTTTGATATTCAGACAACTCTTTTATCCTTTTGCTTCACACAAACAGAACCTGAAACTTGTGCGAAGTGAGTCCATTAAGATTCATGTTTGAACATGCGTTTGTGTCTTTCTGTTGACTGATGTGATTAGTAATTGCATTTATAGCATTCCTTCAATGTTCAGACAGCCACACATATAATCTGTGCTGTTTTTAAGGTTTTATTACAGACGTTTACTGCAGGACTCTGATCTACCTCTGGTGGCCAGAGCTTTTCACAGAACACAGGATGAATTCAGCAACATGCCTGGATATTTTCAGAGCAAAAGCAGAAAACTAGTCCATGAACAGAAGGAGTAAAACGTGGCAAATGACAACACACACTTTATCTAGTTAAGTCTTAACAAATCATGTCTAACACTAAAGCTAGTGATGCACTGTGCGGCTGATCTTTACTCAAACCTGTGAATGAGTGTCACGAGCAGCTGCAGAAATCAATGAGTGGGAAAGAAATGTTCAGGTTAGAGAGGGAACGACCTTCACATCTACTTCAGATAAAATGTGAATGAATTCAGATTGAAAAGCTGTTTTAGTCGAAGAATCACAGCTCTGATCCGGGTTCCTCCTGCTTGGCTTAGTGGTTAGACTTTAACACTAAAGATCGCATTAGAAGCCGTTGAGAATAATAAGAAAGACTAGAGGCTGTTACAAACCACCCATTATCATATTTCTGAATTTCTGTGTCTTATTTGTGTAAAAATGTTCTCCGTGTCTCTGACTGCAGTAAAGTTCCTGGGTATGTGAAGATGATTGCACCAGAGGGAGCATTAGTTTTTCACGAAAAAGCTTGGAACGCTTACCCATACTGCCGCACTAGTAAGTTCACACTGAACAGAAACAAACTCACGGTTACGCTCCACCTTTATAGTGTAATAATAATAATGGACTTGTTTGCTCATCCTGAAATCTTGTATTTTTTTTACTAATGATATTTTTGATCTCTTCCCTGTTTCTGCCTTTCCTTCCTTGCTGTGCAGTTGTGACGGTGAGTTTAAATCTTCCAATAAAGCTTTTACTCATCCTGATTACAATTTGTTGAATCTCTTCTCAGTAAAATGGCCTGGAGTCTAGATCACTTTAGACTAAAAGAAGCTTTTATTTTGTTTTGATAGAATTGCTGTGAAAAGTTTCAGGTGGTTCAACTGTAGTTGGATCCCCCAAACAACCCCTATATTTAAATTGGCATTAAAAAAAGGTCTTAAAAACTCTTAAATTTGACTTGCTGAAAGAAATCACAATAACCAGAATGGTATGTGTGAGCTTCAGCTTCCCTTAAAGCCACACCTAAAGAATGGCCAGTGAGGGTAGTGAGCATGAATTACTGGAACTCGAAATAAACCATGTATTGCATCAAATCCTTCGAAGTTTCCAAATTGCCGACTTTGCTATTGTGATTTAATCCACTTTTCCTGTTTCTGGTGGAAGAGTTGATGATGTCAGACGTTCATGAACAAGCAGCATCATAGAGAGGCAGAGCAGAGCAGACAGATCAGGTTGTGGAGAATCAGTGTCAGGTTATCAAACGATATGCCAGGGTTTGAATCCATCACAGCTCTGATCAATTCATGACTTGAAAACCAAAAGATTTCAGCACAACAGCAGACCTACAAAACTTCTGTTGGAGCAGCAGCATAAGTGAAATAAATGGTATTTATGTTTAGGAACTCTTAATCAAGCACTGTTTGATTTTTTTATTACTATTATTATTTTAAAATATTTAGTGCCATTATTTCTACCTCTTGAAACCATCCATGTATATTTGAATGTGAATATTTGTTTCCATTGTTATTTACTGTAATGGTCATTTTACAAGTGTTTCTCACTGGCCAGTGTTCCAGTCACCTGCTGGCTAACAATTGCTGCTGAGGTTTAAAATGGATCAGAGCTGAGCGATGCGACATCACCACTGCACTTTCAGTCCAAAGTCTGCTTTGCTAATTGGATTAAACTGTGTCTCTTGCGACCCTCCATTCATGGTGTTTAGCTGACCCGCCATGCTCAGATAGGCTCTGCTGGTCAGCGTGGGCCACGAGCCAAGATTACAGCCGAGACTGACGCGTTACGCTCCGACTGAATGGGTTTTCTGTTCTGCTTTTTCAGAACGAGTACATGAAAGACGACTTCATGATAAAGATCGAGACATGGCACAAACCCGACATGGGAACGGTAGAAAATGTAAGTAAGGAAATGATCAGCGTTGTGAATGTATCAACGGTGGATTAAATATTTCTCCATCATGCTGCCATGAAACTTCTAGTGTCTTCTTGTTTCACGAGTCCAGGTCTGTTTTTCAGAGCGGTGAACACTTGACCAGCTCTCCATCCAACAGATTCTAAGATTCCTAAGTCTGCCTGAGTTTTACTGCTTTAATAGCCCCACCGCCACGCTGTGGCCAGTTTTTAGGAAAAAATAATTTAAAAAAAAAACCAAAAACTTTTTTAAAGCCGGATTGCTCTGTTGCTCTGAGCGTTTCACTGGTGGAGCAGATTTATTCTTAAAAGAGACACTTATAGAAGATGGGTTTAAAGCCGGACCAATCACACCGCTCGCCTCTGCGCGTTGCCTCACGCGCTGCAGCAGCTGGACGTCTTGGAGAATTTTGTGCGGCTTTTCCATCTCAGCACGCTGCCCAGCGCTCGACTCTTGTGTGCTGATAAGGTTTATGTTCTCAGTTGGCTGGAGCGTTAGTGGTGAATTTGACGTAGGGGCCCGTCTTGCTGCTACAAACATCAGCAACTCCAACAGCTTCTGTGTTAGATTTAATCTGGGAGAAGGGGAGTAGCTTAATTGGCCAGCCTCAAAATGAATAAGTTATAATTGCAGTTTATGAATTGTGAACAAACAGCTCAAACTCAAAGATTAACCTCACAGCATCACATTGTTGCTATGGTAACAAAACAATTGAACTATGATTACTGTTCTTTGAGCTTTTACAAAGTAAACTTGCCAGCTCCTTAAAATCTTACATATTAATGCTAAAGAATTTAAAATCCGTTAAATCAAATGAAGCAGCATTGATGATCTCAATAAATACATTTTACATTTATAAACGGGGGCGACCAGGAATCTCCTGAACTGCTATTGCAAGCTAAAGTAATGCAACGTTCTGAACAAAACAACCAATCATATATATATATATGTATAGATATATGTATCTATATTTATAGATATAGATAGATATATGTATCTATATATGATAGATAGATATATAAATATATCTGTATATATACTGCTCAAAAAAAATAAAAGGAACACTCAAACACTATATATATATATATATATAATATATATATATATATATATATATATATATATATATATATATATATATGTGCTGTCAGCACCTATATTGGACAATATTTACTGCTCATAAATTTTACATACAACAGTTTACATACAGTGTGCAAGTACGTTGCTTAAATTTCTTGTATTAATGAAATGTCTCTCCACACAAGCAACATTCATAGGGAACATGCAAAATATACATAAAGCAATCCGGATTTCTCAAAAATTGCTGTGTTATTCCAGTTGTATTATATAACTTTAATAAAAATCATGTTTTCTCCATATTTGTTAAAGTTGTCACCATGTTGTGACAGTTTATGAGACAGATAATCTGTGAGAATAATCCATCTCCTCCACTCTGTACTACTATTGCTTGCTAAAAAAATGCAACATAAAAGCAATTTCAGAAAACACATTGATTAATTTTGCAATTTACAGGGTCCCATTTTATTTAATTTCTATAAAAAATAAATAAATTGTTGGTCAGGGGCCCTTGTAATTGCCAAACATTTCCCTGCCATACGGCGCCCCTGTTTATATATTTGTGGTCTGTGTTAAAATAGTAGCATTCATGGAGGCCCTGAAGCCTTGCAGTTCAAATGGAGATAAACTGACAGAAGCAGACCATATTAAACATATTGCATAATTCCAGTCTAATTATCATTTTTAAGCATTGGCAGAAGGAATGTCTTGTTTATTCCTGACAACCTGGTTGCATTTTGATGAAGTAGTAATTTTTTTTTGTTTTAGGTGCATGACCTGGATGAGGAGACATGGAGGACCGTAGACGTGGTGCGCATAGATATTGCAAACAAAGACGAAGTAGCCCCAGGGGTGAGTCGGCCCACTTCTGATACGTCAGGGTTCAGTTAAACCTCTAAAGTTACAAAAAAAGGATGATGTTCATCGGTTCAAATTTGAAGACCTTTAAACCCACTTCAACTTTAATTTAAATTGGTCAATTAAAGTTGGTATTTTAATTGTCCAACTTCTGATTGGTTTGTTAGCCTAATTCAAGGTAAAAAAGCTTATTTGGGTTCATGTCGGGTGTTTTGGATTGAGAAAAGAAATGGATGCTTTTATACCAGAGTTCTGGATTAAGAATAATAATAATAACTAGAAAACTTCAAATTACAATAGAAACATTGAGAGTCTTCTTCAACAAATGTGGATTTCTTATTGATTCTGTGGAGGGAGGAGGAGTTTACACTGGAGGTAGTTGATATGAAGTAAAAATTTGATCAAGATAATGTTGGTTGCGCGAGAAAAGAACTTGGTCTTTCACACAGTGAACAACTTTTACACACAACTCTGGTTACAGCTTTGTTGGTCTGGTAACGTATAACAACCTCCCCCTCTGCCAAAAACACCAATTCATAAAGTTTTTTCTATAAAATCAGCCAACAGAACAACATGTACTTTCTAATAAATGGTACAGAACAATAAGTACTAGCAGAGACAAAAGTGCACTGTTTGAAAGACCTTGTTCTGATTGGTCATTGCTGAATAGTGGTCGTTTAAAATGGAGTGAGGTTTGATCAAAGACATTTCACGGCAGATGCGTCTCTCTTGGACCTGTCTTTCTAACATTGGTTCTTATACAGTAATGACTTAAGTGGATCAGCGTGTTGGACGCAGCTAAACTTAAATGTCCATCTGTTCCCTGTATTCACCTACTTTTTATAGCAGAGCTGACATACTAAAGCAGAACCACAACCTTGGATGAGTTTGGAGCAAAAAATAAAATGGAGATTTATTCTTTTTCAGATTTCACTAGGCTTGTTAAACTTCATGCTAGTTTGGAAATAATTAGATCATCTCACTGCGCTTGACTTTTCCTTGCTCTATTTGCTCTGTGGACAAGATTCTCTTCTCGGAAACGTCAACCTTTTAAAACTGCAGTGACACACAAACCATTTCCTTTCTTCATTACAAAGCTTTGATTTCATAAGGTGTCGCCACTAAAACACACACACAGAAAAGTCTATGTTTTCTGCCTACTTTTTTAATTTGTCTGCAGCAGGAATTTGAACATTTTAGTTCTATTTCTTTCAGGATTACAAGCCAGAAGAAGACCCCTCCCTTTTCCACTCCCCCAAGACGGGCAGAGGACCGCTGGGTCCCGACTGGAAGGTACCTGCCACGAACAACAAGCCCCATCCGGTTTGTTCATGGCCTGGTGATAACTGTTATTGATCTCCTCTGTTTTCTGCTGATGTGTCCCTTCAGAACGAGCTGAAGCCAGATTGTCCTTACATGTGTGCGTATAAACTGGTCACTGTCAAGTTCAGATGGTGGGGTCTGCAGACCAAAGTGGAGAACTTCATCCACAGGGTACCGCACACTTTATCACACATGCTCAAGACTTCTTAGTGTTTCAGGCCACCCCTAGTTCACATGGTGAGATTTTTCTACCGATTTTCCCCTTCAGTATTTCATAAGTACGGCCAGATTACCAGGATGCCTCTTAAGAGATATTTCTGCCTTGTGTGCTGTGAAAAGAGAGACCTGGTCCGCTCAGAATGATGACAGTACCTCTCCGATTTAAGGGTGTTTTCAGATTTGATAATCCAGTAGACGCACTTAAATGTGGGACCAAAATTGCTTCATTAGTTGCATTTTCAGCTGCCGTGATTCTCTTTCACAATGCTCTGTGTCAAACCCTTCTTCCCCTCCTCGCCTGTGGTGCTGCTGCATCAAGAACTACTGAGGGAAATTACACAAAACCCCTGAAGAAGAAAGAAGCCCAACTTCTTTCTTCACAAAATGGAAACAAAATGGAGTGGTGTCTAATTTTAGCGGCTGTAGACTTTTAATCTTTGTGTGTTAAAGACCACAAACTATTCCAGTCACTGGTGCTAGACTTGCATGTTTGTTTTGGTTGTATTTACCCAGAATGCCCTGCGGCGTAGTCCACATCATGGTGTTGAATGTCCTTTTCTAGAAATAAACATTGTCTGCAAACTATCACCGTTGCGTCTTCCCGGTCGGCCATGTTTGTTTACAGTCGCATGTGATCTCGAGAGGTTTTGCGATGTTTTTTGTCGAACAGCTGAACATTGAGTGAAGTCAGTTTGTGTGTGGTGTGTTGCTGGACACCACACATTCTCGTATGTGGGGGATCTGCCAATAATTTCAAAATCTTCCCGTGTGAACCAGGCATTAGGTGAGCAACAGGATTTCATTTTGGAAAATGTCGAAAACCACAGTTTTCATTATTTTTTTGTAAAAACCTTTCAACTCATTTACATTTCATCCTACAGTTTTGTTCCAATTTTTTATTTTTTTTTAAGTGGAAATATTATAGTATGAGTACTTTTGCAAGTATTTAAAAAAAAAATTCTGGAGCATCAGTCGACATGTAGATCTTTATAGATGCCCATAAAGAGGGACTGTCGTTTAAATCACATTTGTCCTGTTCTTTGTTTCTTTTTCTTTTTGTCCCCACAGCAAGAAAAGCGAATTTTCACCAACTTCCATCGTCAGCTGTTCTGCTGGATTGACAAATGGGTTGGTTTGACTATGGAGGACATCCGGCGGATGGAGGAGGAGACCCAGAAAGAACTAGAGGAGGTAATGCGTTCACACCTGAACTAGAACACGCTGCCCTGTTTCTCTGACGAGCCCCGGCACCTTCAGCAGCCGTCCAGTTTGGTTTTTCTCCCTCAGATTTCTAGACTTTTGTTGTAATTTCAGCAGCCTGCAGGAGACAGCCCTTCACAGGGAGCGTTCCTGACTTAACCTGCGTTTACTCCCTAATCAGATGCGTCAGAAAGGTGACGTGCGAGGCACCACGGCAACAGACGAGTAGAGGCGCTGCGCTATAGGTCAGACACTAGAGGCAGGCTGAGTAAGTTTGTGGCCTGGAGAGGTGGCAGTGCTGCATGGACCGACCTCCCTCCTCTTCCTCACTTCGTCACCCAGCCCGTCTGTTTCACTTTTTGTCCGACCAGACGTTTGTGCTTCATTTTACCTCTGACACCGCTCTGCTTTTCACTAATAAACCCTGTTTTTCTACCATGGACCCACCAGTTTGTGTTAACCCGGCCTGACAATTACCTTTTAACAGAGCAGTTGTTCCCATTGATAAAATGAGAAAGAACTGCAGAACCTCTGCTGAAGACCTGTCTAAAAGATCCAAAGAATCTTCCCTTGAAAGATATTTTTTTAAGCTTTAGATGTGGACACTGTGAAGTATCATTTTTAAATCATTCATTTAACAGAAATAAATGACTTTCAGTCTCAAAATTTTCCAGATATTGATCTTTAAAAGTGGTGGATGCAAAACTATTTTGCATGTACAAACATGTCAGGATCAGGTCGAGCTGTTTTTGCAGGAATCCTAAATATAACTGGACAGATTAAGAGCCTCTGATGTGATACTGGTTAGCGTTACTGAGAGATCCATATATGAAGAACAGGGTCGGGTTCTGCATGTTTTTCAGTGTTTTTTTTTTTGTTTTTTTTTTTGTCTGCAGTTCGTTCGCATCTTTCTCATTTCCGTTCTAATATTTTCTTCCAGCTCATAAAGTTTTGTCTCATCTTGTTTTCCTCTGATCTCGTTTTTGTTTTCTTCCTGATGTTTTTTAATTGGTGGATTTAGGCATGGGCCAGTTGGACATTCACAAAGTATGATAACTTTGAGGATGAACATTTTAAATGTGTATTATCTAACAATTTTTTACATTTTACTTTGATATATAATGTTAAGGAATGAACAGCTCCTGGATTTAGTATTATTGTTCAAATGGAAGCAGGTTGCCATGGAAATCAGAACTAATCTGCTGCCTCCACCAATCAGAAAAAACTTTAGCGATGTGGTGAAGTTAGTGGAATAGAAAAAGGGCGATAGGCCAAAGTTTTTGAGTAAAAACAAAAACAAATGTTTATTAAAATCTAAAATCACCAAAAATGTCCATGGTCAAGTTTGAATTTATTTTAAAATCTGAAATAATGTTTCTTTAAAAATAGCAAATTTCCTATAGTAAACATCAACCAAAAATGATCAGTTTTATTTAACAATCAATGAGTTTTATTTAGTAAATGTCTATTTGGATTTGTAAGAGTTGCAGACACCTTGTCTAAATTGACACTAATTAGTAGCCTTTTTATTTATTTCTTTATTTTTAGCGAGCTGACAGACAATGTGCTGCAACAAATTGGGGAGGAGCAGCAAACTGAAAGCGCTTTACAGAGCTTTAACAGTATTAAAGGAAAACTCCAGTGATTTTCAGTTCCTCCACACTGGTAGCTGGCCCATGCCTAATGGGAATGACGCTAACCTGAATTTGCTTCCTTCAGTGGACTGCATGAGCATCGCCGCTAACAAAACATGCGCATTGACGTTGAGTGTGCACACATCCAGCCAGCCAGCTCTCGTTAACGCGCAGAAATGCCGTTTCTCTCTCCTCTCTCTCCCGCACCTCCAGCTGCGTAAAACAGGTCCGATTCGAGGCACCAGTGCTGCTCACGAGCAGTGAGGCAAATCAACCAAACCCTGTCATGATGATGTCATCAGAGACGCGCCCACCCCGCTGAGAAAGTGGCCCCCCGACTTCGCCTCTTCTCGTCCTGTCTCACATGATTCATTGGGGGGTTTGATGCGATTGGTTAACAGTACTGTACAGATCCCATCCCTGTCACAAGCCTCCTGTTCACTCAGTTCACACACACACACACACACACCCCCACACACACACACACACACACACACACACACACACACACACAGACAAAAGCATATAAGAAAATGTAAGAAAAAAATGTTTTTGCATTCATGTATAAAAAAAAAAAAAAAAAATTTGCACAGAACATAAAATTGCCTGATATGTAATTGTTAGTTGATTCTAATGGGCTTTGTTTTTATTCAGGTCTGTAAACTATGACTCCAGAAGCCAAGCCTTTTAAATTAGAATGTTGTTTTCTAGCTTCACAGGTCCGCACCACAAATTCAGTTTATTTAAGCAGGTGTCGGACCGCTTACCCTGTCTTGTAATAGAACTGTTTCTACTTTACTTCCCCCTCACCACTGTCCGTTTGCTTCGTTTTGTCCTCAAAGCTCGTTTGTTTTCCGCTCCTCTTCTTCATCCTGCTGTCCCGTCTGTCTGACAGTTTTCTGGGAATTCTTTCTCCCACCGTTCGGAAATCTGAGGCGGTCTTGATGATATCAAACATTCAGTTTTCCTCCGCATTCAAAAACGAACATGTTTTTTTTGTCAAACAGTGGAATCTGTATTATTTTATTTTAATTTTTCACCCGTTGCTGCATGTAGTAGCTGAAGTGCAGCTTCTCTCAGTTCTGCTGCGTTCAGAGTGCAAGGGAGCACCTTCTACTCATGTCAGCGTGAGCATTTGTGTGCTTGTCAGTGTTTCTAACTGCCTTCACTCTTAAAGGACTGTCTGGTTTTTTGGGGGTTTTTTTTCTTAAATTTCATTTTATTTTTTGGAGTGGGCTTGAGATGGATAGCTTCAAATCCAGGTTAAACCAGCCTTCTGAACTTTGCCTCACGCTGTCTCTGCATGGCCTTCTCTCCTACGGCTAGGGCTTTAACCGGACGGCTCGCACAGCCTCCACCACGAAACAAAGCAAAACTAAAGTGTGAGTGTGCGTCGCTGCGTGCATGAATCGGGCTCGGGTTTTTGTTTTTTTCTTCTTCTTTTTCAAATAAATATATGTATGATTATGTATCCAAAATCTGAAATTTCTCAACTGTCAGAAATGGGTCCAGGTTGATCTGCCATGTTTGTTGGGGATTTTTTTTTTATTATTATTTCCTCCATTTCATTCATGTTTCCAGTAAATGAGCCTAAAAAATATTTTTTATTCTGATTTAGGCTCAGTTTGAAAGTCTTTGGAATATTTGGAAGCGATCCTGTTCGCTTCCTTGGCTACGTTACGGGAGATTTTTACATCGGCAGGTTGGGGTTTAGAAGTTTGTTTTTTGTTTGTTTGGTTGTGTTTTTTTTTTTAGTATCATTATTTTTATTACAACTTTGAGCTTGGGGTAAAAATGTAGTTAGTGCTGTGGCTTTAAGGCTGTCGATCTGGTCTGAGTGTCTAAAATTGAGTTTTGTCACAAAGTTACATGAAAGCTTGACTGTAAGCGTGCTCTTTATGAAATCCGAGGACAAAGCGGACAAACTGTAGATATGAGCGCCACTGGGCTATTGGCATCGTCAAGTTTATTCATTTACAATATCGCTCTGATTCCTTAACGGCAGGTAATCTCAGCCCTGTGTGTGAAGCAGAGCCGACTGTACCTCATCCATGCTTATGAATGTGTAGCTCTACGTGCATAAGAGGGACAGATGTCAATATCACCAGTACATGAGGACAAATGGTTTGACAAAAGCTTGATTTGTATGTCCAGTTTTCATTTTTTATTTTTTATTTTTATTATTTTAAAACACTTTATTTTCGCCAACTGTTTTTGCGAGTTTCGCGACCCGCGTCAAACGAGGTGAACAGTTAAAGGGGCGGACGTCCCCTCACAATCAGACTCTCCCCAGCTGGACCTCTGATTTACGAGAGGAGGAGTGAAAAGCCCGGGAGTCTGGTCATGATGGGAGCGGAACCAGCGGAGTTATCCCGGCCAACGGATACTGTAAGGAGGAAAGGGCTTGGAGCATATACGGGGAAAAAAAAGAAAAGAAAAAGAGAGAGAGAGATGGAGTCCAAAAAATACTGTTTTGTTATTGTAATCATGAATAAGCACTTGCAAAATCTACTGTTTCTTTTTTGGGTTTTTTTTTTATGTTTTCTTCTTTTTGTTGTTTTTTGAAAGACAAAGATTCACAATGTATTCAATTTTCTCTTTCTGATAAGGCAAACATTCAGGGGAATTAGTAGTGAATGTAAAACAATTAGTACCTTTTTCCTCGTTCATAGCTTTCAGGCTGTGACAGAAGGTTTAGACAATGGAGCATAACAGAATATCTAATAAATTTGAACAAATAAAATGAGCAGTGTTTGATTTCTTTGCCTCCTTTGTGAGGTGGTTTTTTTTAGGAGAGCTTTGTCATTTTCTTTCACTTGTAAACTAAATTGCGCATCACACTTTTGTGGAAAAAAAAGTAAAAACAATGTATTTTACTTCCGCGTCACTGTAGTGCATGATAAACATTCAAGTTCATCATAAATATTTTTAAACTTTAGCCAACTTTGCGAAAAAGAAGCACCTGTCTTAGCGTGATGCTCAGGAGCGCAGCGGATCTCAGGGCAGACGCGTTGGGATGGGTTTGTTCCGTCAGACCGTCAGTACTCGGAACCACATACACAGAAAGAACTTGTAAATGTGCACGTGGGCATGAGACCAGGTCAAACTGCGCACTTTTAAAAGCTCGTGGAATACAAAAAAAGACCAGATCTTAAATATATGTATTAATACCTGAAAATCTGTATTTTTTACAGCTATGATTAATATGAATCTGTAGCTTACCAAAGGATGTAATAATCTAGTAACTCCATTTCATTAGCCTGTGTCAAAAACAATTGATAACTGGCTGTGTTGATTTTTTTCATATGGCTTACTCTGGTTCTGGATCGTCAGCTTGTCTGTGCTGATTATGATCACTTTAGATTGGCCTTTTCTGAGCCAATATCTGCAGAGAAACAGAACCTGTTGTAGCCCATCCTTATTTCTGACCAAATTCTATTTGTTGTGTAAAAAGTTTTGTCATTTAAAGTGCCAAGGCTAATGAAAGACATAATGAGAAGAAACTGCAATCATGAGGCACTTCCAAAGTCGATTCTATGAAAACGATTCATGTGACATAACATATAGATATGTTATAGGTTATAACATGGTTTTTTTTTATGATTGAGTAAAAATTCAAAAAGGAGATTTTTCATTATTTCAGTTTTTAAGGAAACAAGGTTTCTGCACCAACCTGACCTCTTTGAGGAAGTAATTGGTGCCATGTTAAAACTGATTAATCACATCTTTTGGTTTCATTTCAGCAGGGAGAGTTCAGAGGTAAAGCTGCTTTGGGCCATCAAGAAAGGTAAAACCTGATGAGCCCCAAGATATTTGGCAAAATATTCTGTATAGACTGACACACACAAAAAAGGTGCATATCCGTACCTTTTTTCGTACTATCAAAAGATTGTTACTTAACTGAGTAATATTTCTCACCTGTTGCTCAATTTGTGTCACAGATTTGACTTGAGAGTACTTTGACTGTCATTGTTAATTAAGACCCAGTGACGTACATCTCGTGATGCAAAGCCGTCTATGACGGAAAGTTTTAATTTCCATTTTCTCACAATATATATTTTAAATCGTCGCGTCTTATGCTCATGTATTGACAGTAACGGATTTCCATACACGCATGCTATTCTGATTTCAGCAGGGGGGGGGGGATCCTTTAATCACGCATGACACAACCGGAAGTACGCATGCGCGAACATTTACACAGCAGGTAAACTCCACCATGGCGGCGAGAGGCCATGTGCAAGATCCCAACGACAGGAGACTCAGACCTATTTATGGTAGGATATCAATAACAAGATACATATTTATTCAGTGGGGCAAGTTTGAAGAACCAGGCCGTGTTTTATAGGGGACTATTTGCCTTCAGTACAGACTGTTGGAGTTCTCAGTGCGGTGATGCGGCCCCTCGGGTTCCAGCCGCGGACTCCGCTGCACGCAGCGTCCAATGACAGTGCACCTTACCCGGTGTAACGCGAGGCGGGAGAAGGACACCGCTGCGGCGGCGGACGCCTGAGCGAGTCCTCGCACCTCCCGTTTGAAAAACTACACTCACGAGCATTTGTGTTGAAGCGCTTCAAGGTTTGGGGGAATTTAAGGTGCGAAGCGGCTCCCTCTCAAAGTCGAAAGGTTTCTCCTTTTGCTAACGGTCGGTGTTTGACAGCGAGCTCAGCTGGCTAATGTGTCAAGATAATCAGGCTGTCAGACTGTCGGGACGTCGCAGACGCATTTGGAGAACTTTACGAACTTCAGCAGATGTTTCCCCGTCAGGTTTTGACTACACTGCCGAATATAACGCGGCAGCTGCAGTATCTGAAAGGCATTGCTGTGTAGTTAGCCTTTAGTTAGCATTAGCATCACAAGAGTTAAGGACAATGCTTTGTAGCTGGCTAGCTGGTGTGGAGCTGTCAGAGCTCCGCTCGACCCGCCAAGCAGCCTTTACAAGAGGCGTCCACTGGGTTTTTGTTGGCGAATTTAACCGAAATTATACCTGGTTTTATGTGGGTTTTTTTTTTGTTTGTTTGTTTTTTACGGACACAAAGCTAGCCATCAGGTAGCAACATCAAGGTGTTTGTAAGGAAGAGTTTCATTAAAGTTGTTTCTAGAGATTTTTCAGTGAAATCAAACTTACCCCTGGTGTAGTAAAAATTCATGGTCTGTTTTGAGTTTTTTGTTTTGCTTCTTTGCTATAAATCATGATTTAATCTGGATCAAATGGTCCATTTAGCTACAATAACACACAATGAAGCACTTCAAGAACACCAGGGCAGACTAGCACTATCAGATTTCACTGTCAAATATTTTTTGAAAACATGCTACTTTTGTTTAAAAAAAGAAAAAAAAAGTATTGGCAGCCCTGTCCTGTCAATATCACTCCAGCCCAACACCAGAGAGAAAAGCGATTTCATCGCCTTGCTGTCACAAAGCAGTTGTTCTGTTAAGCTTAAGCAGTATGTCCTGATCAAGATCATTAAAAAAATAAATGCTGGAAAAAAATCTGCATCTTGATCTGACATCTGAGATGAGGAAGTTCAACTGCATCAGGTCAGCATTTAAGGCCATGCTAGAATACAGCCTTTAGAGCTCAGAAAACCAGTTGGATGGAAAAACTCAAAACGAAAACAGAAATAACTCTGCCGACGTTTTAAGAGTATTCCATTTTACGTGCCCCTGCTGTTTTCAGGACGCTCTGTGCTGCGTGTCGTGTGTCCCGCTTATGAACTGCAGCCTAATGTCAGGAGTCCAGCCTGTTCTTTAGAGTTTTCAGCGGTTTTGCCTTCCCTGCGACGCCAGCTTGAGCAGAGAGAATAGATGTGACATAATCGCAACATACTGCCGCGCCGGCCGGTTAATTTTGGCAGCCAGCTGTCCTGGAGGGACCGAAACAGTTTGTGGCTCTGCATCCGCACACTGCAAATACTCGCGAGGCATTCGGGGAAGATGTGCAGTTTGTAGTTTCATGTTGAGGCGTCATTAGAATGTCAGCTAATTATTTTTTTTATAGTGCTCGTTTTTGTCATCCTTGTGCAATAACAGCACAAAAGAGAAATGGTATTAAAATCATCTGCTGGTGTGATGAGATTTAATTATGATGCAATTAAAATAAAAATCTACATTAATTGCCTTTATTTCAAGCAGTAAAGCAACAATTAATAAAATATATTGACATTGGTTATTAAAGGTGCATTACATGTAGAACGTTATTGTACTGTCTTTTTAATATATTAATAATAACGGCGCACTGATAAATCGACCCAGATATGTTTATCTGAAAAATTTAACAAAAAATGTAGTGATTTTTGTTGCTATATTTGGGAACTTTTCTGATTTAAAAAGGAAGAAAAAAAATTTTTCCAGTGGGAATCAACAGGTCAGGCTTTTTAAAGATTGCTGATCAGCCAGAATACAGCAGTACACCATGTACAGGGTTTGGATCCAGTGCTAGTACCGCAGGCCTTGTTGCGGGCTAGACGAGAGGAAGAATCCTCCAAAGAATACATCTTTTTCCAGAAGACATTTGGAACAATGCGATAGTGGAAGTTGATCAGTAGAAATATTTAAGAATTACAAGAAAATTTTTTCTTTTGGAGCCAACGTTGGCACGGTAAATGAAGGAACTTGCGGCCGATTTAACGGTGGAACCCCAGGAAAAAAATGTTGCCTAATAAAAATCAGTGTGGATTTCTTTTAGTTTCACAAGGCAACTCTTTGTTTTTCATGACAGTCAGTATTTCCAAAAACTTAATTTCTGTGTCGTATAAGCAAAGGGAAAAAGTGTAGGAGCCAGCTGACTGGAAGTGTACAGCAACAGGTGGGGAAGGGGGAGACTCTTTGCGCCATAAAGTTTCTTCTTCTTTTTTTCTGCAACATTACAGTACATTAAGCTGCAAATATTTTGGCAGAACGTTTTTTTTATTTTATTTTTTTTTACACTTTTTAAGCTACATCTTTTTAAAAAACAAAAAAAGTGAAACCTTCTCCAAGAAGTTCTAAAAGTCTTCCAAAGATCAGAATCATTTCCTCTCATATGACACATAAAAAGTACTGCTTACTTAAAAACAATCTTGTTAATTATTCATCTCCATAGATGAAGCAATTGCTCTGGAGGATTTATTAATGACGTGATCCACCCCCTCCTGCGAGAAATACTAAATCTTCAGAATCTGAATGACTGTAGCAGTTATTGTCTTGTTATGTTTCTTCAGATTACCTTGATAATGGCAACAATAAGATGGCAATACAGCAGGCAGATAAACTGCTGAAGAAACACAAGGACCTGCACTGTGCCAAGGTGAGTGGGATCTTTTTTTTATTTTCTGGAAAATTTGCAACCTTTCAAACTCAGAAAATTCTATTTTTTTGGGGCAGAGATTCTTTTTTTTTTTTTTTTTTTGCCCACAATGGTCCAAACACACTGCTGGTGATGAACGAGTGATGAAAGTGTGT